TCCTACACCACCTGACCCCAAATCTGAGCCTATCATACACTGGAACCCCCTATCCTGAGCTTCTTACATCCCCACACTCCGGCATCCCCACATCCTCAGTCTTCTGCCACAACATTCCTCCACCATCCACACATCACAAATCTGTATCCTGAGCCCATCATACTCACAGCCTCCTTGCCCTGAGTCCCTCACATATCCAGCCCAAATTCCTGCACCCTCACATCCACAAGCCCTGGCTTGCTCAGCACCCCAAGCTTCCACTTGAACCCAACAGAGGGGGGGGGGGGCTTGGGGAAGGAATGTGAATTTCATGAATTGGTGGGTCCCTTTCTCCTCCCCCACCCTCCCCTTTTTTTTGCTCGACAAACCTAGGGGTTCCTTGAAATTTTGAAAAGCTGAAAAGTGTTCCTCAGCCAAATAAAATTGGGAAACACTGTGATACTTCAGTCTCTCTGGTAATTCCCAGCCGTTAGAGTTGCACTGACTAATCATACAATAGTTTCACTATTTTGCTGCAAAGCAAAGGAGGACGACAGAAAATTGATCATTGCATTTACTTGTAAAATACTTCAATATATATCTTCATGAGAGGGACTTATATCTTTGGCCAGCACAACAGGGCCCTAGTTTTGACTGGAGCCTCTGGCCAACATCATCATATAAACATTTCATGATGATAACATATTGTTAAATTGACAACCTATGCACCATGAATGTTTATTGGTATTATAATTTAGCAGATTTTTAAGACTGCATGTTTAGTGTGCTTCAGATCTACATTTTTTTAATGAAAATAGCACATAGGCAGAAAGTCAAATTCACTCAGGGTCTGGATCAGCTTCTGTCAAGGCAGATGTTACTAGAGATTTTTGTGGAAGTGTGTGCATCAGGGGATAGCTTTCATGTTAATCACCCATGACTTTTCCTATAACAAGGGTCACCAAGTAGCCTGAATACATTTCTTCAGCAGTTCTTTCCTGCAGTCTCTATCAACCAGGTTCCAACTTCCTGTGGATCCCCCTCAGGGACACCGAGTTGAAATTTTCAAAGACATCTAGAGAGTTTAGTCATGCAAATCCCATTCCAATTAATGGGAACTGCACACTTAAAGTCATGCAAATCCCATTCCAATTAATGGTAGGAATGGTAGGTCCTTCAAAGTAGGAATAAGAGCCTCCGGAAAAGGGCGCTTTTTCCGGAGGATCGGGGCCAGTGTAGACGCTCTTTTCCGGCTTTTTTAAAAGCCGGAAAAAAGCGGCGGACATTTTTATTTAAATGCCGCGGGGGATATTTAAATCCCCCGCGGATTTCCCTACTACGATAGGTGAAATTAACATGCCCCTTCCGGAAAAGGGGCCAGTGTAGACGAGCCTATCGTGACTTTGAAAATCTCAGTCTAGGCCTAAATCTCTAGCTTTTGCAGTTGTAGAAAAAAAATTCCCAATTTTACCTAAATGAAAACTAATGCATTGGTATGTGCCAAAGTGTGCAGTGCAGAAATCATGAAGCAATAGCTATGAAAGACATGAAATGTTTCCATTAATCTCTGGGGGTTACTGTGAAGCCTAATGATAATTGTGAATGTCATAATGGATCAAAGCACATAAGAGGATGATTATACTATGAACAACTAAGTGATTTATTTTGAATAACGTTTCATATTTGCATCAAGAAGTTGGTGGAACTTGACTTGTGGCTGGAGTTTGAAAAAGTCCCATCCCTCCACCCTCATGCCGGACCCCTACTATTCTTAAAATACAGCATTTTACAAAACATATTCTGATCCTGCAAACACAAATTTGTCTAAATGTAAAGACAATAAGATTTCTTTGTGTGTAAAGATAAGTACCTATGTTGTTGAAACCTCAGTAGAGGAAAAACATACTTGCTTTTCTGCAGAGGAAGCAGTAAGAAAACCCAAGACAATCTGAATATCAGTTAAGTGAAATCAAACCAGTTCTTCATAGTATTTCACTGACTAATGGCAGTTCACCAAGGACAAGCATATGACTGGTAGATTTGGATGCCTACAATTATAAATCTCCATTCAGCTGTGTTTAGAATCTGGTATTTCAATAACAGTTTATGTAAAAAGAAATTACGCATGTGTGTGATTTTTTTTTTTTTTGGTACATCCAAGAACATACACTGAAAATATCCATGGGTTTGTTCATTCTCTGTGTGTGTGTTTGTGTTGATTATAATGCAGTCAAGAACTTTATAGGTAAGAATATATTTTGTGATTTTTCTATTATAAACTGATGTCTTATTTTTACTAGCAGAAATACCCAGCGTCACCAGGAGAAAATATAGTAAAAGGTCAGTGGGCCCAATTGGGGCCCTGGAGGAACCAATTTTGAGATCTAACAAATCCAGTTATTAAAGTTAGAAAATCAGTAGTATCCGTTCAAAATTTTGTGTCTCTAGCTCTTACCATTTCGGAGATCTTTCCCCCCTTTGAGACTTTCACTCCTGTGTAATTTGTAAATCTCAGGCTGATTAACCTTTATCTCATTTAAGATATAAAATAAATATTAGGATTCAGTCCTAATTAATTGATATTACATGTTTTCTAGTAGATAAGCATAAGGTCATTTGAATTATGATTGAAAATGTACTTTTCCACAGTATTCTCTTGATATTCTTATGCATGCAATGGTAGGTCTATTTAAAAAGATTCAAGTGTGTCTAGGCCCTAAAGAAAGGTGCCAGCTGCTATTTATGAAAATCTTTCTTCCAAAGGAAGGAGAGACAACTAGAGAAAGAAAGGAAAACGAGGCATTTATTATATATAATTAAATGGACTGCTTTGGCCACTAAAGATTGAAATACCTCTATACCTACATAGGAACTGTGACACTACCCTCTCAGCTCTTCATGGAAAAGGACGAGGAGAGAGGCCATTCATGAATTCTAAAACTAACTCTATTCCCCACAAAACAGGAAAGGGCCAGGACAACCTCCCCTCTCACTCCTTTCTGCTCCAGGTCCCACCTTTTCCACCCCTACTCCACTCCCACCCCCAAATAATACAGCCCAGGCAACTACCAGGGCAGGGATCCCGCATTTTCTCCCCAGATGCCCAGGGACTCTGGCCCTGCTAGGGTTGCCAGGTGTCCGGTTTTGAACCGGACAGTCCAGTATTTGAGAGTTCTGTCCGTAAAAAAAATTAAGAAAATACCAGACACATAAAATGTCTGGTATCTTCTAATTAGGCTAGTTTTATTATTATTAGGAGTATCAGTACGTATTTGCGTACTTGCCCCCCCCCCATATCCCCCGGCCAGCCTTGCTGCCCCTGACGCTTTCCCGCACCAGACCCTGCTTTCCACAAGCCGGTTTCCCTCATACATACACATCCTCCCAGCCAGCCCCGCCCCCCAGGTCTGAGATCAAGTGTGTCCAGTATTGTTTTTTAAGCCACCTGATAACCCTAGGACCGGCCTGCTCCTGGACAACCCTTTGTCCCCCTGTGACAGAGTGTGTGGGCTTCACTGGGCCCTGCACCCCCAACCACAGCCAGACATGACTCATCTAGAAGGAGAAAATTTGTTCCTCTTGGTTTCTGAGGACAGGACAAGGAGTAATGGGCTTAAAGTGCAGCAGGGGAGGTTTAGATTGGAAATTAGGAAAAAATTCCTAACTGTCAGGGTGGTCAAATATTGGAATAAATTGCCAAGGGAGGTGATGGAATCTCCCTCTCTGGAGATATTTAAGAACAGGTTAGATAGACATCTGTCAGGGATGGTGTAGACGGAGCTTGGTCCTGCCTTGAGGGCGGGGGGGCTGGACTCGATGACCTCTGAGGTCCCTTCCAGTCCTATGATTCTATGATCTAGTAAGCAGAACAGGTTCAGGGCTGGCCCAAGCCATTTTCCATTAAAAGTATTTGCGGAAAATCATGCCAGTCTAGACGTAGCCCAGGGGCTCTCAAACTTGTGATACAGCGACCCCCCC